AGGTCTGTCTGTGCTTTTCTATTCTGGTGACAAGAGTGCAAACCTCATGTACAGGCATAATAGAGAGAGCAAACTTTATACACGCTTGGCAGGTGGTATACTAAACGTGACAATTACAATTAATGGGGACACATCACAACCACGTGCCGAACTTATTGAGTTGCAAAAATGCCTATTAGGATGAAAAAGGGAAAAAACACGCATTCTGGAGGAAGCAGTATGACCTCCTGAACGCCTGTAAACTAGTTGTCAACCGCCCTCTAAAAAGCGATCCACCGCAGAATGCTTTCCCAAGAGGAAGTGGAGCCTATGGCCTATGTGAATGAGGCCTAACTGTTTCAAAAGTTAAGGCACCTCTGTCACTAGAATAAAAACTTGGAAATGAGGTCTGCTTGTAAAGAAAAGATTTGCCACAGACCTACCATCTCTTGAGGAGCCACAGTGACTAAACAATTTTCATCATTTGCACGCTTTTGGTTTGTGTTGGATGTGGAATCCCCCATTGAGCGGTGTGGTTCAACCCTCTGACGCCTACGACACTTCTGTGTCCTGAGGAAAACCACAAAGCGCGGGGGGAACCAGACATTCAACACTCCGAGAAGATTTTCCTGCTTGGCTCTTTAGAAAAGTGAAGATTGATTGTTAATGACAACACTTCCACTTTTTCTAAAGTCCTGGAATGCTATACTGTATATTGCAGTTATGCTTCAAACATATTAGCTGTCAACAATATATTGAGTCCTAGGCTGCTGTTGCTATTGGTTGCAGCAATTTGTTCAATGTGCTATGAAAAATTGAAATGTTTTTACTTACATGACTTACGCCATCTTCATTAGCCTCAAGTTTTTTCTTCATCTGCATCATATTCCACATATCTTCTACCTGCGTGTTGCCACCCTGCTGTGATTTCGCTCTTTCCATTAGATCCAGTCCAGTGGGCAAACTATTCAGCGCTTGTAACTGCTGCTCTAATTTCAAGATCTTTTGCTCCATCAGATAGTACCCATTTGGCACCTTGCCATTGTGCCCCTCTTCATCCGCCTTCACCAGCCCTTTAGGGGGATTGTATGGGCCGCTATTTTCCTGTGGGATCTCAGCTTTAAGGTCTTGGATGTTTAAATGCTTTATTATGGCGTGAAGAAGAGCGTGCAAGGCATTGAAATTAACGTTGCCAACTTCAGGTGTGCCAATGGATAAATTCACCAGATCAGAAAGGCTGATGACTGTTGCCATAGCTCATTCACTGGTTGAAATCAAAAGTGCTGCCGGGTTTTGTGAGCCAGAAACCAGAGTTCTCCTGGAAACACAATGTGGAGTGATCAGACGAGATTTCCTTTCAATCTAGAGTGAGCTGCCAAGGCTCTCCCAGCTGCTGGCTGCTATACGGACGTTTCCTATACGTCCATATGTGAATGGGGGCTTATAGTGGGCTCTGTAGTTTGGGATCAGATCATGTTATCTCATACCTGCTTCAAAAAATAAAAGTCCATGCCCTGCTGACTCCGAGACATCCTACATTCTGTCCTATTGGGTTCGGTTTCTCTAGTTTGACGCCAATAGGCTGTGAGAGGCACCTAGACACTCCTATTGTTCACATAATAAGCAGCTGTACAGTGGCTTTGCCTGTTGCTAGGAAACGCACAGTACAGTTTTCACAAGGCATGATCTGGTGACACCGTCCCGGGTTACATATGGAAAAGTCCACTTTGCTGTCTTTTTTTTTTAAAGGAAAGTTTTAAATCTTTAAAAGAAAGGTGACTTTGTAGCGGAAATACAGAAATTAAATGTTTCTGCATCTTTATGTGCCTGGATTACTGTTAAAGGATAAATAATAGGGGAACCTGTTCAGTATTTTAATAAAAAATGAACAAAACCCCCATTTTTACAGCTTTTTACTGGGCAGGATAAATATCAGCCTTGTTTTAGTCTGTTCACAACACTATTCTTCATGTTAAATAGGTTTACATAGTCAGTCAGGTTGAAAAAAAGACATCAAGTTCAACCTATAGAGATAAGAGAAGGAAAAAGAGAAGAAAAAACCTAAAACAAAACGCTATGTCCACAGTTACCCACAGTTGATCCAGAGGAAAAAAAAAAACTACACCCGCACGGACGTGTAGGACGGCGTACGGCCGTGTATTCCCATAGAGAAGTACAGGGGCTGCGTACTAATCACACGCAGCACCTGTCCTTCCTGGGAGCTGCCCGATACGGCCGTGTACGCAGCACGGAGCTGTATGTGCTGGCCGTTTCTAGTGTGAATCCGACCTGCTCGAGCGGCCGCACAGCATCTTGGGGCGGGCGCATGCGCATTTTGGATTCTCGGGCGGGAGACGAGCAGAGACGCAAGGTAAGTCTATGGACATGTGCACCCACATGAAGACACCACTGGATTGGAAGTGCCTGCAAGCAGAGAGGAGTCAGTGCTGGATCGGTGCTGGAGGGACAGATGAAAACATCAGAAAAGAAGAGGAAGATCAGATTAAGAAACATCATTTAAGGTATAGTTTAGTTTGCTCCAACGGGGGAAAACAATTTCTTCCATAAGGCAATTGGATTTTCCCTGGATCAACAATCTGTGGTGCTTAGTATACCTATACGAACTCAATATCCAGTTATATTCTGTGCAAGGTTCTCTAGAAAGTATCTTTAAAAGCCAAAACTTTTATTTTTTTTATTTTTGTTAGATCAGTTTGGCTAAAACTGTCCTTTTTCTGCCATCTGTGTCCCATTCAAGAGATTTTCCTTTCAGTTCCTGTCCTCTACACATAACAGGAAGTGAGAGGAAATACCCACGTATTTGTCACCAGAACGAGTGTCTCCAATGGAAGTTCTGGTGACAACTCAGTGTTTGTTAGTTGTAAAAATAGATTTTTGTTCTCAATTTAATTTTTTCTGAATTTTTTAAAGGACACAACCATATGCATTAGATCAGGTGTCCTTAAATGATGGACCACAGCTCGGACACATGCACTCTGATGAGGACTCCGAATGTAAGGAGACACCCTGATAGGGATAACTTGCTGTATAGGGCCAAACTGATGGGGATACCTAATGTAAGGGGGCACTCTGATGGGGACACCTATTGCAAGGAAGAACTCCGATGGGGATACTGATGTATGGGGGCACTCTGATGGGAACACCTAATGCAAGGAAGCTCTCTGATGGGACACCTAATGTAAGGAGCAGCGGCATATCTGCCGCACGGCAAACAAGGCGTTTGCCTTGGCCGGTAGATTCCAAGGGGGCGGCAAAAATGCCAGGGTCTCAATGTACCAGCCCGAGGGCCGCAATTGGCCCGAGCCGGTACTTTGTGGCCCACAGCCAGCTCAGAAGTCAGGTACGTGGTCACGGACCGCGTACCTGCCTTATGGGAGCAGCTACATGGTCTGCATCTCTGTCGGATGCAGACCGTGTAGCTGAATATGCGCCGGCACTCAGATCCGAAAGGATTGCGAAGGATTGATTGGTAAGGTCTGCAGCAGACCTTACCAATCAACCACTGGATCACCAGGGACCGAACTCAGAAACCTGCGTTTTCCTGCAAAAATCCTTAAATTGGTGTTTACAAGTGGCAGCTGTCACCTAAGTTAATGATCAGGTGACAGCAGTTGCATGTAAACACCTACACACCGCATGTAATGATACGTGATATGTTTACATTCGGTTAGGAATCAGTCACTCTCCCTGGACGCAATTGTGCATCCAGGGAGAGTGTTTTCTAACCGCATGTTATCATATCACGTACCATTACATGCGGTGTGCAGGCGTTTACATGGAGCTACTGTCACCTGATCATTAACTTGAATAGGTGACAGCTGTCACTTGTAAACGCCAGATTAGGGAGTCACACTGACCATTATATACATAGTCTGCAGTTCTGTGTCAGAGTTGGTAAGCCATCAGAGCTGGCTCTCTGCTGAGGTTGGATATCATGTACAGTGGTTTAGAGCCTTCTTTGCTGGCCTTGGTGGAAGATATTCCCCACATCCTGGAAATGTCCAGACTGGATTGTACAGTAATGTGTATACTATTGCCACAGCCACCTATTGCTTACTGGAAATTCAGAGTGAGTGTGCGGTTCCTTGACTTTACCTGCTGATCCTTACCTCTGTAGGGTGCCCTTTGGTAGACTAGGTAGGCATTGCTCACCAACCCCAAAGCCACCAACGGTTATGTCATAGTTCACTAACCCTTTTGTAACCAGAATGTTTTCTTTTTTTGATGCTTAGACTCCCAAACCAAGTTTAGCAGCTTTAGTATGTGCCAGTTAACTTGAAAATAACTGTGACTCATTTTTCTGATCGATAGCGGATCTGAACACACACATAGATGCATTTTCCTAGTTCTCTCTTGCAAAGATCGCATTCTCGCAGCAAGGGGCATTTTACATTTGGACTAATAAAGTCTTATTGTGGTAACAGAGGGGTTAATGTAAAATCCAGGAACACAAATACATATCTGGGGAACAGCCCCATGGGTTTAGATCTAGAGGCTGCCAATGAAAACAATGATTGACCGGATGTCTTTGACCTACTTTCTGAGTTACTGACCCAGAACACAAATGCAGACTAGAAAGTCACTGTGAAGTTAGAACTCCACAGGCTTGTTGTTCCAGATATGTGACTCAAAGTACTGAAGTCTTTGAAGTAGGGTTGCCACCTTTTCTTCAAGCGAAACCCGAACACTCTAGCGACACGTGGACATATTTTTTTTGGGAGAATGAGTCGCAGCTTATTCATATGTAAAAGGAACCACCCATTAATATGTAAATATCACAGTTGAGACTATTTTTAGTGGGGGGCCAGGAGCCCCTATCTTAATTTTGTTTGCCACTGTCTACCTGACACCTTGTGTCCGGGTTTCTGGTGCCATGAAACCCAGACACAGCATTCAAAATCCAAACTGTCCAGGTGAATCCTGGACAGGTGGCAACCCTACTTTGAAGGGGGATGACAGCCAGCCAACTAGCATTAAAGGTCAGCAATGTCAGTCTTCAAATTCTGTTAGCAAAGGCTTCTTCCTGCTCCAATAATTATTAAACACAATGGATTTTAGAGCAAGTATAGGCTTCATTTAATCTTGATTTAACTCATTTAATCTGCACACA